CCCTGCCTCTTACCTGCCAGTCAGCCCCCAGCCACAGCAGCTGCAGAGTGGGTAGCAAGGAAGCGTGCTCCGAGGGTGCTACGGACACTGTTGCCATGAAGAGGAGAGGTCATGATAGCAGAAAAAAACCCCAGATTTGTGAGTGTTGACTTGATAATAACAAGTCCTTCAGGCTCTGGTACTACGTAATACAGGTGCCCGTCAGAGCAGTTTCAGCCGTCTGCTGTGGCCATGTATGAAATGTCCATTGGCTGTCTGCAGGGAACGAGAGGAGAGACTCAGAAATAATTAGCCTGGAAGTCCAAGATCCAAAGCTGGACTTAAGGGGTCTTTTGAGAACCTGTTTTTGGAAATACGGTGGATCGTAACATCCCTATGCTTGGAGACGCTGACTCTTTACAGAAAAAAAACCCTGCAGAGCTGCAATACCTCACTGACAGGCTCAAGCACAGGGGAGCTTACACTAAAGCAAGTGACTTCAGAAGACCTTGGTCACGCAAAGTCAGAGCAACTTGGCTTTAGAGTTTGTATCTGGAGGGATTCAAATGAGACTGGAAGAAGGCTAAAGTTAACAGCGGGGTGGGGGGAACAAATTTGAAGGATAATGTTGTGAAGCACGCATTTGAAAAGGTAGTGATAAAGAGCAGCTTCCAACTCGCAGAGAAACCGAGAAGGAAAAGACACTTCTGTCACACACATGCAGCATGGGGAGAGGTGAGGTGTCAGCCTGGATGTCCTGCCACCTCATGTGCTTGGATGTGTGCCTGCCTGCGGCTCAAATGTGCATAATGGCCAGTTCTCCACAGTGTTTTTATCAAGTACATACTGAAGTAGGCCTTGATATGAAGCTTAAATTAACCAACAGCACAGTTCAAATATTGACAGCCATTGATAATTATTCTTGGGACTATCTCTTCACATCCTATCAGAGAAATCTGTTTCTGTCTTTTCCAGTGTACCACAAGTGACTTGTTCTTGCCTTTCTGGCCCTTTTCAACTTAGTTTCCTGCTCACTGTTCCATAACTGCTTGGCCCCAAAGTGGCCATGATCATGTAGCACACTTAACAACTAAGTCATCTTTAAGTAGTCAAAAATTCCTTAAAATACAGATGCAAGATTTCAGAAAGGAATAGCCTTACCGGTCAGTCATCATTTATCGTATAAATCCTGAAGTTCAGTCATTCAGGCACCGGTTATACAGCATAAAGCTCATGTACTGTTGTAAATGTCTTGCTTTGCTGTATGCTTGCTCTCCCAGCTTTTAGTGCTGACTCCAAGAAGATTGTTTTCCTCCTGAAGATCTCTCCAGTTGCACGAGCGTACTGTAATACCAACACAACAGGGCAACACATAGGCATTTCAGTTTCTCAGCTGATGACCACACCTCTAGGGTACTCATTCATTTAGTACTGTGTATTCATGATGTAGGTAAATACGGCAGCTTTACAGATCTGTCCATCTAGTATGAACACTGTTAACCTATCACATGAAATGAACAAATGTCTGTATTACAAGAGAAGTAAAAAGGTGGAGTACAGTCCTAAATCCCAGTGTAATCCAGATGCCTTGGTTCAAGGCGAAGGAAGATGTTCAAGGTGAAGGAAGATTCGGTAGCATCTGTCATCTTCTTGTTTGCTCTTCCAGGTAAATTCCACCGTCTCCGTACTGAGGCAAACGAGCAAACCATTTGGGTTGATAAATATGTGAGCCATGAAAATTACACCAAGGAGACCTCCGATAATGACATAGCCATGCTGCACTTGGCTGAGCCTGTGATGTATAACAAATACATGCTCCCTATCTGTCTTCCCACCCGCGACCTGGCGGAACAGGAGCTGACAAGAAGTGGGAAGCAGATGGTGGTAACTGGCTGGGGCAGCACAAGTGATGTTAACAACAGTTACTCTACTTTCCTCGGTTATATTCAAATCCCCATGGTTCCCCGGAACGAGTGTGCCCAGGCGATGAGATTTGGCATCTCTGAAAACATGCTGTGTGCTGGGAGCTTAGGAGACAAAAAAGATTCCTGCAGTGGGGACAGCGGAGGCCCTATGATCACTAAATATAAGGATACTTGGTTTTTGGTAGGACTGGTGAGTTGGGGTGAAGGCTGTGGAAGAAGGGAGAAATTTGGGGTCTACACCAAAGTTAGTCAGTATCTTGAGTGGATCCAGCACCACATAGATGAGATGTCAGCTCCTAGGAAGGGTTGATTCTGATGCTGAGAGTCTGGAATATTGTGGCTGTGTGCCAGTGACAGTGTGCAGTGTAATGTACTGTTGGATCTTCGGTATTAAATATAGAGTATGTGTTAACCTTGTGTACTGTTTTCCTTCGTACCTGGTTTTTTTGCTGCTTTTTTGTTTCTTTTTTACATTGTTTATATCAGTTAGTTTCCAGGTTATGTTGTTTATTTGTAGCATGGCCCTACTTAGGCCTTACAGGTGAGAAATAACACCCTGTAATGCTGAGATGCTGTACAACCTTGTAGAAAATAAGCTAGTTCATGGTCAGATGACTCCACCTTTGAAGTGTAAAATGACTGAATTGGTTGGGGTGGGGGGCAGGAGGGGACAGAGAAAAGCATTTTAACAGTCACCAGAGTGATAGAGTTCTGTCATTTCAGCTTCACTCTAAGGTATTATCCACAGTAACTGGTTTGGTTTGCTCTGCATTTGTATAATTTTTCTCGCAACACAATGAAATTTTAGTAACATCATCACTGTCTCCACTCGTTCACACCTTGCTCCAGTGCTCACAGATTAAGTTGATTCAGCAGGTCACTAGAACTTCTCCGTATTTTCTGTTCTTTGCACACTCGATGCCTGATATTACCCCCCACCGGGTTTCCTTAAAAGTCAGTGGGAATTCTGGTGTTATTCTGGTCTATTTATCCTGACGTCCGTAAATCTCTTCTAATTGGCAAGCTAAGCGAACACTTTTGTTCATTCCTATTCTAGTGAATGCAATCAGCTGCAGGCTATATTAGCATTACTAATACTTACTGATTAATGTACGTGTGTGTTTGCGTCTCTGTCTGTATGTCTGTGTGTGTATCAGTAAATAAAATAAAGATACACACCACCAGTAAGTTCATCCGAAGTAGCAATAGTCAAAATGAAGTTTAATATCACAATTTGTACTTGTTTTTAATCTTAGCACTTAAGCCTGCTAAATATAATTAATCTGGTTTAAAAAAAAAAAAAAAAAGTGAAACTAACTCTGCCATAGTGATGTGTGTTTCCAACATTTCAGTCAGGATTTTGACCCATATTTGGATCAGTGAGTAACTTCAGTCTGCTCTTGTGATGAGATTGTTAAATGAAAAAAAACCTCAGGTACAACAAAATTGTATTAGTATTTGTAAGATATTTAATATGGTGGTTTAATATCTCTTAAACTTGTGGACTTAGTCCTGTTGACTTACAAGCTGCTTACGTGCTTATTAAGCAAGTGCTGAAGTTGATTCATGCATTAAAATAACATTCACGCATTAAACAACAGTCAGGCTAAGGGCTTCATGTTGGAGGTAAGCTGAAAACCTGAGAGTACAGTAGGTACCATCTCTCTGTCTCTCTCTCTCTCTCTTTCTCTTTTTTCCCCTTCCTCTTTTTTATTTGTGACTGGATTTAAGGATCAACGAACATTAAAGAATAATGCTTTGAACAGCAGCCTTCCAGCGAGGGCCTACACCAAGAACACATGTTTCTGAGAAGGTTGATGTTGCTAGTCATTGAATTACAAGGAAAAACATCGTTGTGTTCAAAGCCAGTAAAACATGGGTCTAATTAAAGGCAGAAATCGTAATGTCGGTGAATAGCTGTGACTGTTACAGGGCAATATTTGCCTTCCGGCAGGTGACTGCTGTGGATCCTCCTACACCCTCACAGCTCTGCATATTTCACCAGATGTTTACAGGGCAGCTTGTGTGTTTTCCAGATCAGTTGGTCTTATCTGCTGAAAGATGGTGGAGTGTCAGATATCTTCTCTTAAAAATTCCAGATTTTCCTGAAGAAATCTGTTGGCAAAGAACTGGCTTTTATTGTTGGAGGATGTTTTTAAGGGCTTTTTTTTTTTAATTGCACATGTGTATGTGTGTGGAAACACATACACAATTTTCTTCTGATTTTGGATTTCAAATATGTTTCATAGAATACAGAAGGTTGTCTCTCCTCTGTCAATATTTGTGACTGGTTAATGATCAACCTCTTGACCTCATGGCTGTTCCTGGTGTACATCCAAATCTCTCTCCTGTCTTCTCCTAAAAAATAAAGAAAAGAAAAAGGTGAGTATAATTGCATGGTTCTGTGTAAAGTGAATACATTCTGGATCCCATTTTTTTGGAAAAATGATACAGGTAGCAAAGGTGCTGTCAAATCCTGGTAAATTATTTAGCCTGGGAAGGTAATACAAAGGATTACAAACTTCTGTCTTGTCACTTTTCCTGCCAGGTATGTGGTGGGTGGTTTCCTCACTGGGGCTTGCACATACGGTCTTACTTGCCAAGACGATCAGTACTTACACAGCAGATGCTGCCGTTAGAAACCGCTGGCTGAAGCGTGCAGCTCAGCCCTCAGCCTGGGGTCCTTCGCAGTCTAAACAAGGCTGCCGCTGGAGCTGGCCTCTGCTCAGTTTGGGCCTGATCCATGCCTCTCATGTTCACCACAGCTTTTTTTTTTACTTCTGTGGGCTTTGGATCAGACCCTGCAACCGCATCCTGGGCTAGGTCAATCTCCGCACGTTGCCTGGCGAACTGTTGGGATTCCTGTTGTAGTGTGCAGCATCGGTGTGGCTGGGAGAAACAATGGACATCAGATCAAAATGAACTGGGTAGAATTTGCTTTCTTTGTCCCTTCTCTTGTCCTCTTGCTGATTCTTCTTCATCTTTTTTGCAGGCTAATTCACCCGTGTTGTTTTTGTGACAATACACCGATTTCATTCTTCTTTTCCTTCTGAAGGAAATCATCAGGAAGTCAGAGTATTCTGAATGCTCACGAAGATGGAGAGCAGTTTCTCGCTTGTGACATTCTTCCTCCTGATGTGCTCCACCGACAGCAGCTGTTCATTTTCATATTCAGGTAGGTACTTCGGAGTTCCATTTTTAACTCAACGGTCTTATTGTGGCAATCGTGGCATTTACACTGAAACTGCATTCCTTTTCTGAACACAAACTTCTGTGGGTTGAAGAGGCACTTCCTGAAATGCACAAGAAAAAATGAATATTCATATATGTATTTCGAAGAGAAGTCAGCCTTTCTAAACTTCCTACTTAGACCACTATGCTGTTGAAAAGTATTCTCCTTGTGACATGGAACCCAAAATCTGAATTATTTTTGCATGGCAAAGTTTTCTGATTTGGGAACCTAAAATTAGGCACTTTAAACACGTGTTCTCAGACCTCATGTTGATTTTACTACACCACCACTCAAGATTTGGAAATGGCTTCAGAGAACAGGTGTGGGAATGCACAGGATCTCGCAAATCATTATGGCTGCCCTTGCAGAGGAGGAAGAGCAGAAGTAGAAGTGGTATCTGCAAACCAGCAGGCATGTCTTCTGTGTGGGATACCTACTCAACATAGGTCAATCCTTTAAAGATGACCCCAGAACTCAAGGGGTGGTGAAGCGCAATTGTACTGATGTAAGTCAAAGGCATTTTCCCCGTTACCAGACAGCAAGATCTGTCCAAGGCTTGTCTCAGCTAAGAGTTTTTGTGGGCTGTTTCTAATTGCCTAGAAATTTCAGTCATTGCTATAGATCTCGATCCTGCATCTGCAAAGAAATGTGTTTCTTTATGGTCCATCTCCAAAACTGGGTTCTTTGTCAAAGGGTTTTGACTTGTCTAGGACACTAAACCACGATTAGGAAAACAGAGTACTGTTAAGTGACCTGCTGTATGAATTTTAGTAGGCTTTGTCAGGATTACAAAGGGAGCTTTCTTCTTAAAACGCTTCTTAGCATCAGTTTTTCAGTCTGTCAGGTGGATGGGGTTTGGATATAGGGCCACACTTCTGGAGATGGAGGTTTTTGCCTTTTTGTTACAACTTCTCTAAATAGTGGTGGCACGTGGTATCAGTACATCCACAGGGGCTGAGCAAGCCCTCAATTTCCCTCAGAGCACCCTGGCTGGAAAGAAGGGAGGACCTTACTGCTATATTCTCTGTTCTGGCCACTCCTCCCTTAATTTATTGTCAGTAATAGCTCTTAAGACATTGCAGGAGGGGAGGGTAAATAGCTTAGTGAAGCGAAGTCGATATGAACTAAATGTAAGTACAGAACTGACACTTTATGTATTTCTCGTAATGAAGAAGAGGCGTGTGTCCTATTGTGGCCACAGTAGCTACCTGGGAAGCACTGGGTCTCCATTACTGAATATCTGACAAAGGTGTCGCCACATACCACCCAAACCTCTCCTTTCAGCTTTATTTCCACATGCGCACAGAGCCAGGCACCCAAGAATTGTTGTGAATCAGGATAGTGAGGCACAAAAATATAACCAGCCCCCAAAGAAGAATACTCAAGAGTCTTGTGGAATAAAAAAATTATTTCTGCATTAATCTGCAAGTCTCAGTAGTGAGTCTTTTGATCCACTAAAAGAAAGCTTAAAGTACTAGTGTCTTTTCTGGAACGCAGGCTAATTTTATTTTCCTTAGGGCTGCTCACGTAGCTTCCTGCTCGGTGCCTTTAAACTGTTTACTCGACTGAAAGTGTGCATGACTGACTGTACTAATGCTGGTTTGTTGTCTTCTAGTATCAACTGTTCAATTTCATTTTTCTAGTGTTTATGAGAAAAGACGAAGCACACGAGGTGCTGAAAGTCCATAAACGTGCTAACTATTTTCTAGAAGAGATTCGTCCAGGGAACTTGGAGAGAGAATGCAATGAGGAAAAGTGTTCATTTGAGGAGGCTAAGGAGATCTTCCATTCACAGGAGAAAACAGTAAGAAATTTTATTTTAGGAAAAAGAGAGGAGAGTTAACAGTGAGCTGTAAGTAATCCTTCCCAAGCACACTCTGACAAGTGTGCACTTATGGATTCTGCAGCTCGCTAGTCAGGATGGGTCACTGAAGGCACCTGTGAGATCTCACTTTCTACGCCAGTGCTCAGTTGGTTGTGTAAATATTAAAACAAAATTCCTTAAAAGTATCCAAAACCTCTTTCTGTGAGAGCCTCAATCCAGCAGCGTGATTCTGACATTTTCAGAGGTCGCCTGCTGGATCAGACCTCGGTCCACGATGCAAACGAAAGCAAACTGCATGGTGATGATCAGGAGATCTGCTCCAAGAATGTATTTTATGGTTCTAATCAAAATGTTAATTTCCGTGCACCCTAAAAAATACAGTTTTCTAAATTATCTCTTCAGTAACCAATATGTCCACTTACTGACTGTTTTCTTCATTTGTGTTTTCTTCTTGCAGATGGAGTTTTGGTTCAATTACAAAGGTAAGTAAAAAGGGAATTTTAAAAAAATCTGTTTCTTGTGTCCCTTCTGGGTACAAAGAATTATGTGGCAGTTTAAAGCCACGCTTCTCTTAGTTCCTGGAATTACACTCTGCCTTGTTTCTTCTTCTTAGGTTTAAATCCATGTAGTACAAATCCCTGTAACAATGGTGGAGTCTGCAAAATAAGACACTACAATTACTTTTGCATCTGCCCCCCAAAATTTGGAGGAGACAACTGCGAAAAAGGTGAGTACAGGAACAGACACATTGACATTCGTTGCGAAGGAGGGATTACGGCTGGTATTTGCTCCTTGGGTACTTGAGCAGAACCTTTGCACAGGCTTCTCTCCGAGGTTATCGGTGGTGTCTTTGTCTCATACCGAACTGGTCGGTTGGTTAAGATTCATACATTAGAATGGTGTTTTCTTAGATGACACGCTGGGGAACCGCCAACCTAGGCAGGGAATCTCATTGTGGCAGCGGCCGTAGCTCCTCCTAGCTCTGCTGTGCGGAAGAAGAGGGTAGCACCACCTCCTGTGACGCAGCAGCTGCAGTTCCGGGCTCTTGCACTCATCTGTGCAAGCCCTGAGGAAGGCACGTGGCCATCGCCCATCTTCCCCCAAGAAGGGAGAGGGAATGGCCTCTTTTTATCTCTTTAGAGGGATAACAAGTCTAGTAACTCCTGCCATAGATGCCTGCACTGGAGGTTGTTCATGGTGAGGCCCTATTCTCTTTTTAATTTTATTGAGTAAATGCATCAAACAAATTAGCCAAAAAAATAGTGTTTATGTTGTAACATACAAATGATGAAAAATGAAGTAGAAAAGCTGCTTATCTCTTACCAGATTTTGGTCCTCTGAAATACTGTCTCTGGTTTGCAAATGACTGAGGCATGAAATTACAGCAAAAGCCAAACTGATGTGGAAATTATGAATCATAAGTAATTTCCACCCCCCAAGTGCTTTTGTCGACCTTTTCTTTTTTACAGTGAAGCAATTAAACGTGATTTTTTTTTTAATGTAACAATGTATAAAAAACTCAGTTTCTCGTAGACTTGGCCCCCACCAAAATGCCTAGTACTTCAAATCTGTCATGATACAAAAGATGTGAAGGTGAATCAAAAATGGATGTGTTTAGAAGCGTGTGCTCTTCCAGGCATTTTCTTGCTCCTGCTCTACAGGCAGAAAGGCCTAGAGCCCAGCTGTGGCCTCAAGACAAAGCTGGCAAATAAGAAAATGGCAGAAACGGGTGAACAACAATAGACAGTTCCTTCTGTTTCCCCACAAGTTTTTCAGCAGATTTTTTCCCTACTTTCTTTCACATAACAATGGTGCCAGGAGCTGTGCGCTGCTCAGGGGTCCGTGCGTAGTAATAACCAAGTGAATGCCTGTGTGTTCCCATTGCAGAAAAGTTTGAATGCTGGTATAAGAACGGCGGGTGCTGGCAGTACTGCAGGGACAGCAGCAGCACCTTTCACGTGGTGTGTTCCTGCGCAAAGGATTACACGCTGCACGAGGACGGGAAGAGATGTGTGCAAGCAGGTAAAGCATCAGCTTGGAGTTACTTTAGGTAAAAGAGATTTGCAGGCACCATCTTCACTAGTTGTGGAAGAGCTACACACGCTGTAGCTATGGCAGCTTGTACTTAGTGTATGGAAAAGAGCTGTCTTATTTATAAAGTTTTGTTTATTTATTTTAACTTTTAAGGTTCTTCGCAACCCAGTGTCTTGCTTAATCCAGTGCCCCTGTGAGCACGCACTGGGTAAAGGAGCAGCAGTCCAGTCTGGGGTGGCCTGTTCCTCCTAACAGCAGCGCAGACTTAGATCAACTTAACTGAGTTAT